CTGCTGAGGGAGTAACCAAGCGTCTGCAGCTGCTAGCCTCACGGACTTGGAAGGGCGAGTCGTGGAAGGCTCCACCCGCGCGGCTCCCGATCCGCACTCACCCTGCTTTGTAAATGCCGAAGCAAATGCATGTTTCAAGCTACAGATGTTTGTGGTAAGCCCACGAGGTGACGCCAGGGGACACTAGTGCAAAATCGAGCCAGTGGCTCTGCTGTCATGGAGGAGAGGCGGTGAGGTGCGCTGTGCTTCCTCTGTGGTGGGGTGGCAGCGCATGATGCTGTCCCCACTGTCCTCTCAACCCTCCATAATATTACACACTGTCTTAGATAGTCAATGGACCCCACTAATGATCCATAGTGTAAATGGAGAAGTCGATACAAAAGGGCAATGTAGAAGTGCTGGTCCCCTAAAAAAATTCCCCTCTAATTTATGTGGGAAAATGCAAATAAAATGGAAAATGAAAAAAAGGACATAATACACAATGTTAAACTTATAGATAAACACTATGCATGGCGGCTATGAACGCATTGGCTCAAAAAAGGTAAGTTAGAAATAACGGGTGAAACAATTAGCATAACAAAGAGCCCAAGCAGATGAACACAAGGAAATTAAAGTTATGAGGAAGCTCCTCGAATTAAGCAATCACATGCTTTTCCTTGAGTTTATGGAGTGAACAATATCTTTGTTCATTAAAGCTATTTTGGAAAAGGGAAAAACACAACAGCGAAGGGCCAGCTGGCCCCCTGCCGACTTCCTGAGCATCCTAATTCGCTGCCCTGGAGAGTCCTCTGCGCAGTGGGGTGAATCACACACGCAACACAGGTGTCACGACTGCACAGGGCCACACGACAGCCCCGCCCTCTGCTACAGTGTTTCGTAGCACAGCAAACAGAAAACTTAACAAGGAGAGCTGTCCCTCAGACAGACCATTTCTACTCCGATTAAAACATGAGTCTATTCCAATCCAAGAGCAACCGGCACAGTACTGAAAAGTTCTAGCACAGCTTTCGGAGCTCTTACAGGAAGTGCCAAGGATGGTTCCAGATTTTGGAATAGCTGCTCATACACAGTGAGTTATTTTACGGAAGAATCCAAGATTAAACCCTAAATTCACTCATGTCTCACGCACACCCTATTATTTCCACACCCACCCTGAAGGTGACTGAATTCACAGGAGAGCGGGTAGTGCGCTCGCATTCTGGCTGCAGCCTGGCACCAGAGGCGAGGCATGCAAACTTCTGCCTGTGGCAGTGCGTCAGTGCCCAACAAGGCTGAAGTTTGGAGCATCTCAGAGTTTGGTTTTAGGGAACATGGATGCTCAACCTGTACCTCAGAGGAAATATGCCTATTGCGATTCTGTATGGTCTTTAGTCTTAGCCAGTCATTCAGGGATTCAACAGGAATAAGAAAAAACAAAAACTAAAAATGAAATCCCATGAACATTTAAATATGAGATTTAGGAGTGGAAAGAGTGAAATCCTTGGAATTGCTAGCATTTCTTTATGGAGCAGCTTCCAGTCACAGCAAGCAGGGTGGCCTGGCTGAGGTGTACGGTTGTGTCTTCAAGTCATCACTCACGCTTGACCGTAAAAGCCTTCGTGCACCAAGGTCTGACTTCATTGCCTTGCTCTCCTATAGCAGCGCAATACAGGCTGGCACTACTGACAGTGAAGAGCTGACCAAGTGATGCCAATGAAAGGTCACGCCACAGCAGCAGGACTGTGCGCCGACCTCTTCCAGTTCATCTCCCCATCATTTCTCTTTTCATATATCATAAAACTGTGTGATACAGAATGAAACATCTAAAGTGCCTTAATTTGGTTGTAATATAACATACAAATTCTGAGAATAGTCATAATTCTGTTAGCTAAGCTAAATGTTTTTGTTTTGAAAACTGAGATTTAGAATTAATATATTTAAATTCCATACAAGAGTCGAGTCCTAAACATTGCAGGTGGGAAGTTATCACAGTAAGATATAAATTCCTGCCTATTTCACCAGGCTATTGTGAAAAATCATTAATAAAAGTTTGTAAAATTATTTTAAACCCTGCAAAATATTAGCAAAAACTGCAATGTTAGTGTTTTACTTAAGGCAGTAGGCTTTCTAGCCTGTCCAGTGGTGGCAGAAAGGCTTGCCCTGCCTGTGTGCCTCCAGATCAGTGGGTTCTTTAGGACACGGTGGAGCCACTGAACTGTCCTGTGCACAGCTCCCAGGCAACAAGCCCGTGCTGCTTCTTGGCTGCCAAACTTTGTGCCAGGCATGACTGGCACAGCAAACTGCATGGCAACGCTGGCCTGAGTGGTGCTTGTAGCCTAGCAAGAGCTAGAGGACGGTCCAGCGCTGGTGGCCCTCTACGTCCACACAGACAGAGAGCTATGAGACATCAGAACAGGGGCACAATGTTCCCTGGAGAAGCGGTGTTGTGGGCACTCAAGCTGCCCTCTGGTGTGCAACCCAGGGTGGCTGTTCCTCCCTGGAGAAGGGTGTGTGGACCCCGCACTGTCGGGCATGTGACAGGATGCATGGGGTGCTGCCCACAGGACAGCTGAGGTCTTTTCTAAACCACAGCCTCTAACTTCATGCCAAACACGGACAGAACAAGGTCAGGAAGGGGAGGGTTCAGAGAGGCACAAGCTGCCACAAGAAAGGAGCGTGCCAGTTTGCAATGTATCCTGGGACAACTGTGGCAGCACATGCTGGTGTGTTTGCTGTGCTGTCAGGCCAACCTTGCCCACCTGGTTTCCTCCCACTGCCTCCCACGTGCATCACTCTTACCAAGACAGAAGCATCCTGAGGAGACCTCCAGCATCCATTCTTTTCCCAGATGAGAAAACGTATCAGGTTTGGGTCCTAAGAGTCCTGTTTTTGAGGAGAAAAATAAGGACCACATCTAATCATAATAGAGAGAAAAATCTTTGTAAGGATAAGATCTGGTCCTCAGAACTTCCCAGAAAGGGTGATGGGACAGGAAGGCCCAGACAATCACCTGCTTGGAGAAGGAAGAATGGCTCAGGCCTGGCGCCGACACCTGCTCCTATGTCCCACTCTGCTGGAAGATGGGGGATGATACAACCCCTAAATTTCTGAGGTACTTCCACTTAGGACTTCCAACACAGGCTTGGGGACCACGGACAGGCAATGAGCAGCACCGAAGACAACGTTCTTGGCGGCCCTCTCCCCCACCCGTCCTTGTGTGGGACCTTGTGGAAGGCCCTAACCAAGTCCCCGCTTGAGTGTCCACCTTACCGAGTGAGACCAGGTTGCTGTAGTTCTCCAACATCACGTCTCTGTACAGGGCCCTCTGTGGAGGGCTCAGTCGCCCCCACTCCTCCTGCGTGAAGAGCACAGCCACATCCCCGAAGGTCACCAGGCCCTGGAATGGCAAAGCCGGCCTCACTGGCTAGGAGCTCTCTTGGGAGGCTGAGGCCACTGTCCCCTGGAGTGCGTGGGGATTTACAGGGCTCTTAAGCGTACAGGGAGCTGGTGTCCAGGGCAAGGAAGCATTTGATAGGGGCTGGGTTTTGTATCACTACAGCACCCACTGTCCTTTGGTGATGGCAGTACACAACGCTCCTGGTTACCATATGCAGGATATATTTAATCACCTCTGTGGATGGTAGTCCTCTACTTATTAAAAAAAAAAAAAAGTTCCAGGGCCATCCAGATAGCTCAGCGGATTAAAGTGCCTGCTTAGGCAGACACAGGGACAGGGGTTCGATCCCCACGTGCTACACTGGCCCCGCCCCCAGGGTGTGCGGAGATGGTGATTGAGACCAGGCATGGTGGCACACACCTGTGATCCCAGCGCTTGGGAGGCTGAAAACAGGAGAATCACTACGAGTCCGATCTACGTAGTGAGACCCTGTAAACCCTGTCCTAAATACATGTAAAATAAAGTTCCCTGTAAAACAACACACTGTGTCACACTGCTGAAAGCCTCATGCACCTCATGCCCATCTTGACTGCAGCAGGAAGCCCCTGGCTGGCTGGCCCTGGCCTTCTAGATTTGTACAGACACTGCTTATGGGGTTCACACAAAGGCTCTGTATAACTAAGACAGGTAAATGAAATCTTTCTTTCTTTCTTTCTTTCTTTCTTTCTTTCTTTCTTTCTTTCTTTCTTTCTTTCTTTCTTTCTCTTTCTTTCTTTTGTGGTACCAGGGATTAAACTCAGGCCCTTGCACTTGCCATGCAAGTGTTTATTCTACTGAGCTATCTCCCCAGCCCCGGTAATTGAAGTCTAATACATAAAAAATTCAATGTTTTCACAAGGTCTTCCTAGCCAGCCTGGAGCTGGTTTACACAGACAAAGAAAGGTTAAGTAGAAGCTCAAAGAAACCATGGGTGACCAGAAAGGACTTTAGCTTATTTGAGAGGCCACTTCCTCAGCCAAAAGTCCAGTTTACCTTTGCTTCTGGGTTTGGGGAAACAACTCAGCATCTCTCCCACACACACCAACTTCTGCTCAAGGCCCTCCCAAGCAGGCTTCTGTTACCCACCCCTAAGCCCTAGGGAGAGCACAGCAGGCAGCCTAGAGGCACTCGCTGAACTGAACTCATGAGTCAGTGACTGGTTTTCACCTGTGGGTTTCCACCACAGATCAGAATGCTTGGCATGCTGTAGTACATCCCTGATATTTGGCCATTGTGTGGGAACCAAAGGAATGCAGGCTATTAAGCAAGATGGGTGGTGACACTGCGATGCTTTAGACAGTTTGTCCCCAAATGCTTGTATGCTAGGTTTGGTCCTCATGCAAAAGTTCTGAGGGATGGCTTTACAAGATGGCACTGAGTGGGCATCGCTTAGGTAAGGTTTTAAATATGAAGGACTTAGAACAATTTTGCCAAATGCACGAGAATTTATATACCCAAATGAATGTATGAATGTGTCCCCTTCTTTTATTTTGAGACGGGGCCTCACTATGCAGTGCAGGCTAGCCTTGAACTTGTGGCATTCTTCCTACCTCAGCCTCCTGAGGGCTGAGATTACTGGCATGTGCCATCACGCCTAACTGCATATCATTATTTTAAAGGGGCCAGCAACACCCAGAGCTTTTTAGGACCTTACTGAATTTGGAAGCACATTTTTTGTGGGGAGGTATGCTAGGAACGAAACCCAGGCCTTGAGCATGCCGAGCAAGTGCTCTCTGGCTGAGCTACATCCCCATTCCCACATGAGAAGTCTTTTGAATAATTTCATTGGTATCCAGTATTTCTAGGAAGTAAAGGGCCAAATAACATTTTTCAAAAAAGCCAATAAACCCTTCCAAGGCTGCGCCAGGTCTTTCCCACGTTGGACCTGCAACCTTACGTGCCACGTAAGCGCTATGCAGAAGCAGTGTCGGGGGAGAGGTTTCCACTCCAGACCAACCAGCAGGGCCCACACACGACCTTTAGCAAGTCATTGAGCTCTAAGGTCCACTTGGGTGAGCCCAACATGGGGTGGCAGGGAGCAGCTGGTGTCAGCTTTCTGGGGAAGACAGTAATAAGGTGGAGTTCATGGGCAGGGAAGAGACATCCCCACACTTTCCAAATCAGAAGGGAGAAACCCTACTCACCTGGGCCATGGTGGGCAGGTGGCTCACAGCCATTCTTTCTTCTCCAATGCCTCCGCTTAGGCACAGGAAAGCACTGAGGAGGTCGGAGGGGAGCTCTGCAGGCGTAGGATTCCTCAGGCTAGCAGTTTCTCGACATCTGTTAGAGGACAGGGCTGGCTCAAAAGGTGTCACACAGCAGGAGGGAGGGATGCACACCCCAGGGATCCTCCTGTGCCTATTTGCTCCCAACTCTGAGATGATTCTCCCTCCTTCCCCCCAATACCTTTCCTCTAGTCAAACCCAGTTTTCCCTGCTGTATTTGAAATAGTTTAACTTGCGGAAAGCTTGCTCCAGCACCAGTTCTCATACTTCGTAACTACCCTCCTTACCTTCTCCTAAAGCTTAGGACTCCTAAGAAACTGTCCTGGAACTAATGATCCCAAGGGGAGCGGAGGAAGGGGGAAAAGGGTTGAGTCCTTTCTCCTGGAAAGACGCGAGCTAGGGAGGTTAGATTTTCACTGGATGAGTCTCTCAGACCACTCTCTTAGATATCCTGTTTCCATTTGGGTGACCGGGAGTCAAAGGCGAGGTCAGCAACAGGGAACCTGTGCGTCCCCGCCATTCCGTCTGTCCCCAGGGAGGCGTTGCGGGACTGTACTGCAGCGCCCTTGCAAACCCCGTTGCCGGCTCGCACTCAGCCGCAGGAGCCCGACCCCCGGAGCGTCGGAGCTGCAGCTCCACCACGCGCTAGAGGAGGCCCTCACCCCATCCACGCCACTGGTACTGATTCTGACCCGAAACCCAAGATGCCCGACCCTGTCGGACCTTCCCTCATCTGGGATAAATCTCAGACACACATGCTGCGAAGTTTGGGGCATTAGATGAGGGGCCTCCAGAATGGACAACGACCCACACCTCTTCTGCTTTCTCTCAGCCCTTCTTCCCAGACCTGACCACCCCACCATTGCTCGCCCTTCGTGGCTTTGGCCACCATGCCTGGTCACCGCTAGGTCGCCTTTCCAGGAGTATCTACCGGCGGTGAGAGACTGAAGCCACTATAACGAAGTCAGGGCACAATGAGCTGGAATCTGCACCTCCCGGGTCTGAACTGCACTTGCGCGTTGCCACGGGGACCGCGGACCTGAGCTCCCACAAGTCTTAGGGTTGAGCACTTCTGTTTGCAGGACTTCACATCCCAGAAGGCAAAGCGGTGGGTGCTGTACATCTCTGCGTACTGAACTACGTTTCCCAGAAGCCTCTGTAGCCCCCCTCCCCCCCATTCAGCTATCCGCACCTAGACAAGCGGAGCAGTTCAGTGCAAATTCGACTTCCTTCTCTGTCTTGATATAATGCCCCGGAAGCTGTAAAACCAGAGGTTGATCAGAAGATCAGATCCAGGGAGCAGCGTTCTATCTGTCGACAAGAAGCCCCCCAGGGGCTGAGTAGTTCCTGGGAAAGCTGGCAGAATTGCACCCTTGGCCGGAAAGAAGAGTCAGATTCTGTCTGTCTTGCCGACAGCTGCGCCGGGGCGTTGTTCTGAGAGGAGAGGTGACAGTAACTCCTCTAGTCATTGTAAGGTGGGTGAGGATATAGAAGTGAAGGCCCCAGAGGAGGCTACCTCAGCGACTCAGGATGGAGTTGACCACAGCTGGAAGCAGGGAGGGACAAGAGGACTTGACAATGGCGCTGAGAAGTGCCCAGCAGGTAGAACGGGCGAGGGCGAGGGCGAGAGCTCCTGAGTGCTGAGGACTCCATCCTGGACAACTGGACGATGTTCAGAAACTTACTGACTTTGTTAGGCTGGGGTGGGAAGCATGAGGCGACGGGTAGGAATACCCTGGTGGACACCCTTAGTTGTCATTGGATATGTACTGTTCATGGATATCAGGAAGGAAAGATGCGAATTTTATGTGACCTGAGCTTAATCACTTAGGGAATGTCTGACCACCTTTAGGAAGCAGTGGCAGGATGTGACACCACCACAGTGTCTTAAGCTAACATTGGGGTTGTGGTTTCATTCTCTAAATACTTAGGAAGTATTTTATGAGCTCGGCACTACTTTACAGCCCAGATAAGTAGGGGAAAACCTGTACTATTGGAGTTTTAGTCTGCCAGGGGAAGTAGTAAACAGAATAGAAAGTAGCCCATAGAGATAACTGTGCTGGGGTTGGACTGTGATGGGGTGGTACATTAAGTAGCATTTTGGGATATTCTCTTTGACATCTGAATACAGCGGAGAAGGAAACCAAGTGAGGATCTGGTGAAAAGCCACTAAGGGGAGGGAGCAGAAATACTAGGGAGAGAAGTCCACTTAGTGAGCCCGAGGCTTGGCAGGCCCAGTGCGCCTGGCCAGGACACACCAGATGAGGGAGAGTGGAAGATCGGCAGGGCGGTTAATGAGAAGTCTGAAGAGCATGGTAGACAATTTGGACTTATTCTGTATGATAGCATGCCACCAGACAGATTTAAGCCAGCACCATGGCTGAGAACAATAGAATAGAATCACTGGTCAGCTTCAGGAAGTACAGACAAGTGAAGCTGAAGAATAGAAAACTAGATAGGACGCTTTTGTGGCAGGGTGAGGGAAAGCCTCCCACAGCTGCATAATATTTCTAAGACATTTGCTTTGGGACCCTAGTGACTAAGGTAATTAAGAGTTCTAGATGCCACACTAAGGAGTGGGTTAGATATGATTCTGTTTCAGGATGACAGAAATATTTATCCAGCATTAGCTACATACTAAAAACTACACACCTTTACATTTTACATTGTCTAATGCAACCCAAAAGCAATTTATTTGTGTTATTAGTAAATGAGAAAAGTGAGACACTGATATGTTAAATGGTATTAGGAATCCTGTTCCCACTAATGGAGGAAAGGTCAAAGGCATCCTTAGCTGAGAGCTGACATCCAAGGGTCCAAATCTTCCAAAACTGAAAATAGTTATGATGCCTCCACTTACGTGACGCATTTATCCTGGGGCTACTGTAGTTTGTTAGGGAGTACCTAACCAGCACCTTCCTCAACCAATTAAACAACAAAAACAAAACTAAAGAAAGTAATGACATCATTAATGTGAAATCCATTGCACCCTCTTACTCAGGCCAAAATCCAACTTGCTTTATTTTTCTGAGCATTCAACAGAGCAGCTCCCACTCCTCAAGGACTTTTACTGTGAACGATTCTGCTCAAAGAAATGAGGTTAAAAATGTAGTCAGTCCAAACAGTTTCCCTCTCTGTTTCTACTATCAATTATGCAAATGTACTTACATGCAACCAGAACCTGCATCAAATCGGATTACTGTTCTCAGAATAGGTGCTATTTCCTACGAGTTCTTAGTGTTCACTTGCTGAGCCATGTTACAAGGCCCTTGCTGTAGGATGTAATGAGAGATTCATTTAGCTTTATTTTCTGTCATCTCAAGACTTCTACTCTACACTCAAATTATATATCCTTTACAATCTCCTAAGTATAAACATTTGCTTAGCCTTCTTGCAGTTCCTTCTGCTCTCACCTATCTCATTTGTACCTAACTAGTTCACTACCATGGCAACCTGTGCTGGGAGCTGCTCAGCAGCAGGGACTAGGGGTCCTTCACACTGGAATTCATATAAACTACCTATACACTGAGTAAGAACATTGTCTTACCCTTGTTTTCATTCCAATATGCAGCACAGGGAAGTGTTCAAGCAAGTCTCTGGACTACAGGCAGGAAATAAACTATGCCAATATGTATTTACCCCGGGAAGTAACCAACTATGTTCTAAACACTCATCAATTTTCAGAGTCCCTTCCCTTCCAGGTCACCTGTAAATCTTTCACAGGAGTTGGATGCAGTCCCCTTGAATGTCCATCTGGGGGAGCTACACTTAACCTAAATGAGGAACACTGACATTATAGTCTTCAGCTCCACCTGTTATGGAACCCTGACCGGTAACATCTTTAAATATCCAGACACCTATTTGACAGAGTTCGAAAAAAGGAAGTGGCCCATTTGATGGTCCAGCCATAGAGAAAAATTGCCTAACACCCCATTTTCTATACAGTGCCTGGTGTTTCTTGTTTTAGACATCATCTGACTGCATCCTGATTCCTCATTCATTTATGACCTCCTGCCATGAGGTCCTTGAGAACCCCAGATCTCCAGTAGCTATGGAGGAGGTGCTCAGCAAATACCCAACGGCATGTTGGTCATGGCTGGCTGGCTGCTACTCAGAGATCTAACTGCATGGATGGTGACTGTATGGCAGCCTCCTCTCTACTCTGGCAGAAAAGAGCATTAGGGCAATGTGAGTTCTGTCTTACAAGGATGATGTAGACCAACTGGGATTCTTTCATAGAATTTTAGAATTAGGACAGAGAGATGCGGTAATCAGAAAGAACAGCTGATACTGATGTTTTGGGTGATTTTGCCACTTTAGCACAAACATGAGAAGTAATTCATCAGTGAGGACAGTGGCAGAATACCAGGTGGTGGCGGTAGCAGCAGTAAGTAGGATGACGGGTGAGAAGGCACACCAATGTCCTTTACTACTGATGGTTCCAGCTGATGTGAGGTCTTGCTATAAATTATTTCAAGTAACAAAAAGATAATATTCAAATATTACAGACACTACCACTACCATTACTCCTCAAAGACCAAAGTGAAAGGCTTGATTTAACAAGAGACACCAGAGTGAAGGTCTTCTTACCCAGATCTTTATACTTTGGGTATGCTTTTGAGGTGATTCCCAAATAAACAGCATCCTTTCCCTCAACCCAAGTATGGAGGCTTGAGGATGGAGCAAATCACCAATACTTCACTCTTGTGGCCCCCATGTTCCTTGGTTCACCGTACAGATCCAGCTCTTTAATTGCATTCACATATAAACTAGTGGAGTGGTAACAAGTAAAGAAAAATAGAATGAGTCGCAGAACTGTACTAAGGAAGATTTTTAGTAATGTGCCTCACTTGTGCCTATTCTTTGTCTCTCGTTTCCCACCTGATATCAAGATAAAAACAGAAAGAAGGAGGCCAAGAGAACAGATGGGTAGAAAATAGATGAAAATGATAAAGGTAGCATCAAAATAAAATCTTAAAGAGGATGGCCTGAGGTAGGGGAATAAAGGATACTGAAATAGAGGATGGACACCCTGAAACATTGGTATAATAAGAATCCTGAAGAATTATATAACCCAAAGACTAGACTGCCTAAGGACCCAACAATGACAATGCATAGGCATGTCTTCCATTGCCACCCACATCTTCTGGAGCCATGAATTCTTAATTCCCCTGCCTCAAACTGGAGAGTCCATCTTCCTGTTGAAAGGATACCTGCAGCATTAGTTTATGCTCCAAATCTTGTTTTCTCACTCAACAGTAGATCTTGTGCTTCCTGACAATCCTGTGCTTTATTTTATTGGCAAAGCCAACATTGTGAAAGCCAATTTGTTTTATTGTTGTTTACCTCCTCTAGAAAGAATAGAAGCGTTAATTCCTTTTTCCAGCCTCCCTTGCTGCTAGGGGTGGGGAATATATAGCTGTGGTCAATGAAATGCAAGTATACTGAAGAGATTCTGGGAAGATGCTTTCTACTAAAATATGCTGATATTGCTAGTCCTACCCATCCCATATTCCTACTATAAATGGAGATATTTTACCTGATGCTTGGCCACCACCATACAACCAAGATAGAAACCCCAGGAAATTCAAGGTATCCAATTACATCTGTGACCAATGTCAGCACCCTCTAGATTTGTTCTTTGAGAAAAACTAATCTCTACTTGATTAAGCCATTGTTAAATGAGCTTTTGATTATCTGCAGCCAAAGTTTCTTCTGATAAGTAAACCCACTTTTAGCTGCCATCTTCCTCTGGTTATCTAAATCTCACCTGTGTTGGTAAAAGCTAAGTTCCTTACAATACTTAGCTCACTCAACCCATTAAAATTTACAGAGATTTTAGCATTCACTTTCAATTGATATACAAAAGCAAAGGACATATCCTATGTTTATCTTAACCTTCTGTGGCATTGGATAAGATGAATTATCTCTATCCCACACTGAAATTCTCCTTTTGCTTCTGTGGCACGACCATTTCCTGATTTTCTGTTTTTCTTCTGGGAGTTCATTCCTTTTAGGTCCTACTGATTGCTCTTTATCCCAATTACTCTTACAATGGTAGTACTTTAAGTACTTCCTTCTATTTACTGGTGTATCTTTGGCTGCTTATTAAGAATCTTCAATCTGCCCATAGACCCATCACAATGCCCTTAAACTGAATACATCACTGCCAGGAAAAATTTCGTATCTGATTTCGTATCTTCTTAGTAATGACATGCCAATCCACTCAAATAAGAAATTTAAGCAATTCTAAACTCTTCCTTTTCAAATAGCTATAATTGACCAGTTACGGATTTTTTTAAAAAAGAGTCTACCTCCTCCCTGCTTTAATTATTCTTTCTCCACATACCACACTACCACTTCACTAGTTTAGTCCTTAGAACGGTGACGGTAAGCTCTTTTAGAGCTCTCAATGTTAATGAAGAGCCAGCTGCAGCACTATGCCAGTTTTACCACCACTGCCTTGGAAAATAATGCATCTTAATCATGGATTTTCTAACCATATCTTTCCCATTAAATATGGGTAGAATAAAAGAAAGACTACTACCACTATGAAGATGTATAAAATATCCTTCTGATTGTTTTGAATATATTCTGAATTGTAAAGGTTTTACCAAAATGCCCAATGTCCATGCTTATTTGTGTTTGATCCCTCTTGCTCTTCTCTGTATTTGGATAGTCAAATACAACAGAGGTATGTAATTGAGCCTATGCCATATAGACTACCAAACAGCTAATTTAACAACAGTTTACTATTGATGACAACTCAAAATGGCATGGCACTGCATCAAGATTTGTGCAATTATTATATTACCTTCAAGAAACCAGCATGTATTTTAGGGTAAAAAGGCAGGGAGAAAGAAACATGGTAGCTAATAGGCATTGGTAGAGGTACAGAACTTTGACTCAAAACATCTAAGTAAACTGTGAAGTAGAAGCATCTAAAAATATAACAGAATAAAAGACTAGAAATTTGCCAGCATCATCATTTGTAGTACTTTAGCAAATAAGGTTCCTGTAGGCATTTAAAATCCAAAATTTTTCCATTACCACATAAGGAAAACATAACTCAGTAAAAGTGGGTGAATTTTCCAAATTAGTGGCAGCCAAGACTACCAACCAGGTTTTTGGGCTGTCCAGCTATTTACTGTGACATTTTCTTTTCAGTATGAAGTACCTGATGTCCAGAAAACCTGCCATATGACAAAACAACTTATCTTCATTTTTTATATATTACTCAAACCTAACATAAAGTAACTTTTATCTTCTGAATCCAAATGTCTCCACTCTCACAAAATTTCTGTCATGGTTATGTTATCTGATGTTGTATATAGTACTTCAACTAAAAGATTCCCACAAGTGTTATATTTATTAGGCATCTACATCAACATGACTTATATGATAATTACTTAAGAGTTAATCATGATGAAGTAGCTCATCAACGCTTTCATTATGTATGAGTTCTCTGATGTCTTGTAAGGTTTGTACTTCGACTGAAAGCTTTTCCACATTCATTACACTGATAGGGTTTCTCTCCTGTATGAGTTCTTTGATGCACTATAAGAGATGACTTCTTAATGAATGCTTTTCCACACTGATCACATTCATAGGGTTTCTCACCAGTATGAATTCTTTGATGCTCAATAAGGTAGGCACTCTGGCTGAATGCCTTCCCACATTCAGAGCACTCATAAGGCTTTTCTCCAGTGTGAATAACCTGATGTACAGTAAGGGATGATCGTCCAGTGAAATGTTTTCCACATATCATACACTCATAAGGTTTCTCTCCTGTGTGAATTCTCCGATGTTGAGTAAGAGATGAGTTTTTACTGAAAGCTTTTCCACACTGATTACATTCAAATGGTTTTACTCCAGAGTGAAGTCTTTGATGTTCTATAAGGTATGTACTCTGGCTAAAGGATTTCCCACATTTATTACATTTATAGGGTTTTTCTCCTGTGTGATTTCGCTGATGTAAGGTAAGGGTTGAACTCTTGCTAAAAGCTTTTCCACATTCACTGCATTCATAGGGTTTTTCTCCAGTATGACTTCTCTGATGCACAATAAGATGCATGCTTTGACTGAAGGCTTTTCCACATTCATTACATTCATAAGGTTTCTCTCCTGTATGAGTTCTCTGATGTACAGTAAGATTCATGCTTTGTGTAAAAGCTTTCCCACATTCATTACATTTGTAGGGTTTCTCTCCAGTATGAATCCTTTCGTGTTGAATAAGGGAAGCATTCTTACGGAAGGCTTTCCCACACTGTTTGCACTGATAAGGTTTCTCCCCAGTGTGAGTTCTTTGATGGACAGTAAGGTTCATGCTCTGGCTGAAGGCTTTCCCACATTCATTGCATTTGTAGGGTTTCTCTCCAGTGTGAATTCTTTGATGTACAGTAAGGGAGGAACGTTCAATAAAGTGTTTACCACACACATTGCACTTATAGGGTTTCTCCCCAGTATGAATCCTCTGGTGCTTAAGAAGAGATGAGCTCTGGCTGAAGGTTTTCCCACATTCATTACATTCATAGATTTTCTTCCCTACAAACATTTTTTGAGTTTTCATTAATTCAGAGTTTTCTTTGGCATCATTTCCATGTGAATTCCAGTTGTGGGGAGATTTTGACATAAGAATTCCTTGCTTTCCATTAAGGACTGAATCTTGATTGGAACATGTTTTGTAATCATTACCTCTACATATGCTCCTCTCAGTGAGGGTTCCCTTATGGGTAACTTGGCCCAGATGTCTTTCCTGTTGCTTTTCTAACCAATTATCAGATTTCAAAGCTTCCCCTAAGGTTGAATGCCAGAGACTTCTTTCTACTGCAGGTCCATAGGATAAATCTTCAGTAATACTAGGCTTTGGAGATAACTCATTGTGTTCAAATCTTGTCTCTAGGCCTGAAAAAGTAAATTAAAATGCACATTAGTTTCTGTGTTTAAAGATGGGTGAAACTAGAATAAATATTAGACATATTTCAGAGCTTTAAAAGATATCTTTATAATTAAAGAAATTGAAAGAGGAAAATACCATTAATGTATCCACAGAAAACAGGGTAACTACAAGCAGGTGATGGCAAATCCATTGGGCCATCAGAAAAAGCATGTTTAGGAGTCATGAGCAATGGAATCAGTAATCAATGGTCTAAGTCCAATAATGAAGATGGGATTATATGAAAATACATGAAGCGATATGATTGGAGACATACATCAGAAGACTGCAGCATGATGCATTACATACTAGCATTGTCTATTCTATCCTTCTGTAAGGCTGGTTACAATCCTATAACAAATTAATTTTTATACAACATCACAGTATCACAGGGAAGAGATTGCCAAGCTGATTGACAAATGGGGTCACACCATAGCTTTTCATGCCATCTAAATTCATTACTTGTTTTTCTGGTTCTGAATTTTTACAAATATAAAATATCTATATAATATTTATATATCCTATCAGTAAAGATATTAAATTTGTTCTAGCAGGAGGAATAAGATGAGATATAAAAATTATCTTCTATGAACATATGTATCAGCATCAGAACACACTTGAAACTACCTCTTTGGAAGGATGGTGCAATCTAAGGGCTTTTTCTCCTTAAACTTTAAGCAGACTGTAATGTTTCAAACAGATAGCACACTAAAATGTCCTACCCTTTCCTACAATTTTTTTCTGTGGTTATTAGAACTGGTGACAAGGTAAAGTGCTGAAATGCTGGAGAGAGAGCTGATGGAAGGACACTGGAGCCATTCAGACTTTACTTATTCGGATCCCATTTCTTATCCCAGACCAAAAATGATCCATTAGCAATGAGTACAAAGGAAAGGAAAGTGCAGTCTGAGTATTAGCCTTATTGCTGCTGATCAAAGTGAACACCATGGAGATCAACACTGAAGCAATGAAGCAAAGGCTGTGACCACAGGCTCTACTGTGAAGCAAGAGATTTCTTAATCAAGATCACCTTTTCTAACCTAATTTACTTACATAAAAGAAACTTGAAACTCAAGCAGGTCCCACTCCTAAAGTATACACACCAGCAAGTAACCCCAGAGAAGATTCATTCAGTGGAACATGAAAATATCAGCAGGCAACTGATGAACTAGAGACTGCCTCATGCCATACTTCACTATGGTCTCAGTTAGCTATCTGATTCAAGTTCTTTGGTAAAAGGCAAAAGATTTATACGATCTGAAGAGAAACCAGAGTATATAGTTCTTTGGGACTATTTAAATTGCTTCCCTACTTCTACTGTTAGACAAATACAAAGTCTAAAGGTTTCTTAACTTCTCTGCTTCAACTTAATCATCTGTTATATGGTGCCTATCTCAGTGTTGACATAAAAACACAAATTAGCTCAAATGTTTAACAAGCTTAGAATATGAAAGCTTTTTGTTAAATAGTAATATATACATTTTTTTTTCAAAAATCACATGAGAAAGAACAAATCATTTGCTATTTTGAGAAATATTAACAATTTTAAGTTTGAACATCCTTTTAAAACAAAGTCAATAGATTCAATATACTGTTATGGACTGTA